CCCAGGAACTTGGGGGACAGGGAGGGCACAGCTGTTGGACGGTCAAAGGAATCCTGGGAAGTCGCCATCGTAGAAGAGTGATGGGGACATACTGAACCCAGAGTCACTGCCCCCCCCCCATTTTTGCAGAGGGAATTGCAGAGGGATGTCTAGGCTCTTCTAGATGCTCTGTTCCAATAGAAAGGTACACCACGGGCCCTCATGCCTGCCCCGTCTGCCATCTGAACACCTCCAAGTCTTCTGCGGCTGGCGAAGTCTTTGCTCTGATTACCATTCATCACAAGTTGATGATGGATCCAATACCTGGGGCCTGTGTGCCCGGAGCTAACAGAGCCCATCTGTACGGACTGCTTGGCGCCAGGACACAGGCCTGAGCAGCGGGGCGATGGGGCTGGCAGCCTCGTATGTTTTCCCTCCTGTCTCACATTTCTCCATCCAGGAGCAGCAGACAGAGCGGTATGCGCACCTCCAGAGAACTCGGAAATCTGGCAGCCTCTGAGGCCTGACCCCTCACTGGGCACATGGAAACGAGCCCTGAGAAGAAGCCTGGAGAAGAAGGTGGGCATTTATCAGGATCCCATTCACCTCTTCCTAAGGACATGAGATGACTTGTTTAGCCACTGCTGAGAGACCTGCTCATTCCACTGGGAGAAGCTTCCAGGAGCTTTGCCTTAGCCAGCTGTCCACGACTCCGGATCAATGCCCGGTTGCTCACATTCCCTCTTCCTGCCACCTTCCAAGGCATCAGCAAAGCCATGGCTCTATCTCTCCATTGTAGACCCTGCATTGTCCACTTCTCTCCACCTCCATCAAGTCCACTCTGATCCAAACCACCACCATCTTTAACCTGGACCACCTCAAACTTGTCTCTTCCATCTTGCACTCGGCAATCCATCCTCCACAGAATGGTCAGAAGGATCATTTGAAATGATATATCAGACCAAGTCACTTGCCTGTTAATATTTTCCAGGGGCGGGTAGTTGCATCCAGAATAAAATCCCACCTCCTTCCCTGGCTTCAACTCTCTGTTTTCCTGGCCCCTCTGTAACACGCTTGCAACACTCCAGCTGGACCGGGGTGCTTTCTGTTCCTTGAACACCAAGCTCACTCCTACCTCAGGACCTTTGCATATGCAACCCTCATTGCCCAGATAGATCCCTTCCTAGATCCTTAAAGGAACCACCTCATTGTCATTTTCCTTTGTAAGCACCCTCTCTACGTTAATTTCTTCCCTGGAGGCTAGAATTTCATAAACATCTGTTCCAACATCAAAGCTCCTCTCCGGCTGCCACCTTATCATGTTCTTGCCCCAGGGCCCTTCCTGCTCTGGGCTTGATGGTTCCTAATGGTCTGGCCTGGTGGAGACAACACAGGAGCAGAGGTCAGAGAATACTGGCTTGAGCCCCGACTCTACTACTTGGTTGCTTTGTGCTCATGCCTCATTTTCCTAATCTATAAATCTATAGAATATTGATTTTCCTTCTCAGGGTTCCTGGGAGGACACGGGAGCTAAGAGAGGTGAAGTGTTTTATAAACTGGGATGTTCTTCTCAGATATTCATTAACACTCAACACATACTTATTGAACACCTACTGCAAGTCAGACAGGCCTAGACTTAGATTCCAAGGAACAGTTTCTGCCCTTGAGCACAGGGGGAAGGGGACAGTGGTCCGGCCCCCAGAGGCAGCCAGAGACAGCGTGCATTCCAATCCTGTATCTGTCACTCAACAGTATTATGACTTTGGAAAAATGCCTTCGTTTCTCCCATGTCGGTTTCATACTCTAGAAATCGGTTTAATTGCACTTTCCAGAGTGGTTGTGAGGATTATGCAAGTTAATCTAAATAAAGCTCTTTAAAAATGCCTGACATAGTAGGGATTAAATAGTCATTAGTTATCAGAAGGGGAGGCCAATTGGTAAGCCCAATTCTCCACTTTATTTCCTGTCTACTCACTGCAGTTCAAATGCTACCCATCGCTCTAGGCTCTGATCAACCCCCCAACTCATTAGTCAGACACCTCCTGCCTACAAGCCACCTCTTCCCGGCTCTACAGGCCGGCTCTTCGTAAATATTTGAGTTGTCTCTCCCAGCTTCACCGTGTCTTCCGAGTCACAGAAGATTCTCAAGAAATGTTATCAGAAAAAAGGACTTTATAGTGAAATGGTAGCTTTCTTCACGGAGGTTCCATGTAGCCTGAGTACAACTGCTCCGTGGCAGAGTTAAAAAGTAAGGTTGGGTGAGTGTTCTCAAAATGTTTTCTCATGTTTCGGAACAAAGCTGAAGGAGGGATGGAAATCTCCCAGCCGCAGCCCTGGTGGCTCCAGCTCTGGGAAAATGCACACAAAGCTCCTGAAATCTACCAGCTACTGAAATGCACACAGAGATCTTGAAATTCACCAGCTCTTGAAATGCACACAAAGAAGGGAAAAGGCAGGATAATGTGATGAGGAGAAGAGGGAAGAGGGGATGGAGGAAGCACAGGAAGGGGAAAGGTGGAAGTACAGGGAGTCGGGGGAGGGGATAAGGGACGGGCTGACTGATGCCTTGCCTCTGCTGGGGTCTTAGATATTACTTTATTTCATTCTCACAACAAGCCCTCGGAAGCAAGAAAAATGTTATAAATAAAGATCGGCAACTCCACGGAGAAAAGAGCTTATGTTTTATGTTGTTCAGTTTGTTTGCTTTGTCTTGGTCATTGTTGTACCTATAGTGCATAGAACAATACCTGGCATATAGTACATGCTCAAGAAATATTTGCTGAATGGATGACTAAAGATCGAATGAAATGAACAAAGAAGGCTCTAAAACTTGAATAGACATGTCTCCAAAGGAGATGTACAGATGGCCAACAAGCGCATGAAAAGATGCTCTGTATCACTAATTGTTAGGGAAATGCAAATCGAAACCACAGTGAGATACCACTTCACATTCATTAGGATGGTGGCTATAAAAACAAACAAACAGAAAAAAGTGTTGGTAAGGATGTGGAGAAATTTGGTGGGAAAGTAAAATTGTCAAGCTGCTGTGGAAAACAGTATGTCAGGCTCTCAACAAATTACAGATAGAATTACCATAAGATACAACAATTCCGTTTCTGAGTATACATCCCCAAAGATTTGGAAGCAGGAACAAGAACAGACATTCATACGCCCATGCCCATAGCAGCATTATTCACAATTGCCAAAAGGTGGAAGCTACCCAGGTGAGCATCAACAGATGAAAGAATAAACAAAATGTAGTTTATACATGCAGTGGAAAATTATTCAGCCTTAAAAAGGTAGGAAATTCTGACACACGCTACAACACGATGAACCTTGAAGATATTATGTTAAGTGAAATAAGCCAGACACAAAAAGACAAATATGATTCCACTTACATGAGGTACCTAGAGGAGTCAAGCTCATAGAGACAGAAATTAGAAAGGTGGTTGCTAGGGGCTCTGAAGAGGGAGAATGGGGAGTTAGTGTTAATGGGAACAGAGCTTCCATCTTGTAAGACGAAAAAATTTCTGTAGATGGTTGGTGGTGATAGTGGCACAACAATGTGGATGTACTTAATGCCACTGAACTGTACCCTTAATGTTTAAAATAGTAACTGTTGTTATATGTATAATTAAACAATTACAATTTAAAATGTATTAGCTTTAAAAAGAGAGAGAGAAAGAGATAGGGCTTTAAGAAAGGCAATGCCCTACTGCACATCACAATACTAGTCTTTGGCAGCTGTGGAATTGTTTCGGGGGTTGGCTGAAGGGGTCTCAGCCTCAGACTGACAACGGGGAGGAAAGGGAGAGAGAAGCCGGAGAAAGCCAGAAGAAGCAGACCGGGGGCTGAGGCTGGGCCACCGTTGGGGTGATGGACTGTTGAAACGGCAGACCCAGCAAGGTGGAACCCAGGGTCAGTAGGGGACGCCCACAGAGATGGGAACTGTGGCCGCTCCCTATGCCCTAGTCCCCTGTGGGCTTCTCTATGGATCCAGAAGCAGAGCCATAAGCAGAAAGCTTTCAGTTTCAAGTGACAGGAACCTAACTGGTGCAAGTCAAGAGAGAATCCATTGGATCATGGGAGGAGTACACCAAGGGACAACGTGGGCTTCAGGCACGGCTGAAATCAGGAGCCCGCCTTTCACATTCCACCTCTCTGCTTCTCTTCCATCTCTTTGGCTCATTTGTAGGCCGACTTTTCCCTCATGATGGCAGAGGTGACCACCAGAAGCTGCAGGCTACATCTCACAAGTCAGCATCTACAGGCTGATCCCTCTGCAACCTGGCATCGCCCTGAGAAGCTGACCTCGGGCGCCCTGTGGTAAGTCCTCCGAAGAAATTAAACAGGCAGTCGGGACGGAGGGGCTTTCAAGTTGAGTCCTCAGAGGGGGTGACGTTGGAGCTGAAACTACGTGCTGGGAAGGAGCTGCATGGAAAGGTCAGAAGGAAAGTCTTTCCGGGTGACAGGATAGCAGAGGCAAGATCCCAGAGGCAAGGGAGAGCTTGGCTGACTTAATACGGAAAAGCTCACAATCATCAGGGTGAACGTAGTGTGTTTACTGTGTGTGAGGCTCCCTTCTAAGTGCGCATGAGTATCCCTCACCCCGGAGTTAGGTATGGTGACAGCAGAACCTGTTTTAAGGCATCAGACAGAGACACGGGATGCTAAATACACCTGCCCAGGGTCTCTACCGCTGGTAAACAATGGAGTCGGACTTTGAACTCTTTTCTCTTTCCCTCCCCTCCTCCACTCCCAAAGTGGAGGTATAGCACTTTGGCAGGTTTACTGCCAAACCTTAAATCTTGCCCTGGGTTGAGAGTGTGGTCAGAGCTAATGAGGGCAGGACCTTCCTATGGCTCGGCCTCACCCCTAATCCCTAGGCTGCCTCCCCGGTGTAATAAAACATCATTCAGTGAAGACTGAGTGCTTCTCATCCTATCCAGAACACCCTTGCTTCAACGAGGGCAAGGGACACAGAATGACTTTCCCCTTTTTTCTTATTTCTCTTATGGAAGCAACCTTCTTAAAGATCTAGTCTAGCAGAACTTCAAGAACGGTCGTTCCATGATCGGCAGTCACCGTGTGCCCAAGGTGGGTCAGCCTCTATGCCAAGACCTTGGGATCGAACGGTGAGCAAACCACAGGCCTCAGCTCCCTTAGAGATCTCGTTGCCTATCCGTGCCAAGCCTCTGTGGTAACTATTTCCTTGAAAAAACAATATCTGAGCAGAGAATAGAGGAAGGCTGGCTCAGGAGAACATCCCCACGGTAAAGGGTTCAAAGAAAACCAATATACCATGAGTATAGCCCTTAGAGCCCATCCCACCCATCCCTTCACCCTCGCTTCCCTCCCTGAAATCAGCCACCCGCATCATTTGCTAACTTCCGACAGTGTCGCTTTTGCCTGGGTAGGATTATGATACTCTCAAACGTTGACCACGTCTTTGGTCCCATGTGTGTGCCCCTGTTGTAAAACCATTCTTGTTTTCAAGTCCTGCTGATGCTCCCTCCTGAATCTTTCCCAGGTCCAGCCCCTTTTCTGCATCTTGGCCACCACTGCCCGCATTCAGGTCCCTATCATTTCTTGCCGTTGTTTCTGTTACCGAAGCAGGTTGAGTTCGCCCGAGGCACAGCAAGCCACAATGCTGAGCTGCTGAGGTCTGCAGCAGAGAGTGTTTCTTTGCAAGGCAGCCCAGCGAATAGATGGGGAAACGCATCCTAAACTCACCTCCCTGAAGGCGAGGGGCTGGGGTATTTATGGGATAACGAATAAAGCAGCAGGGCGGTCCGAGGCGTGGGGAGTGTGGGTTTCTTGGGGAAACGTGATTGGAAAAAAGTGTGGTCATTGTCATTCTGTGCAGGTGTAACCAAGCTACAGGCCTCTGCACATTCAAAAGGTCACCAAGCGGACACTGGCGCATGCCCAGTTGGGGGGTCAGTGGTTCCACCCAGTCTTAACCAGCTCAGCTCAAAAACTAGACACAGCTGACTCCAAGTTCCTAGAAAACAGCTGATTCAGGCTTCTAAGGCCACTTGTCGCTTGAAGGACATACAAGTCTTTTGCAGATAACCTTGATTAGCGAAGGTGGGTAAAGTGGATTTGACTAATTTCCCACGGTTTCACCTCCTGGTCTCCCTGTCTTCAGTCTTAACCTCCTAAAATCCCAACTCCAGGCTCCCAGTGGAGAAATCAGACTACAGTGCAAATTGGACTATGGAAGGGGCTTTGGGGAAGGTTTGAGGCTGCCCAGCACCCTCTGAATGCTCACCCTGTGTTGGGGAGTTTCCCATAGTGCAGTTGCCACGTCCCCGGATGGCAGTCATGACATTCTCCCAGCCTCCTCTGCTGCGAGGGGCAGCCAGGTGACTCTGGCTTCTCCAATCAGATGCTCTCATTTGAGACTATGCTTTCGAAGGGAATATGCAGGGACAAACAGAATTGAGTTTTGTTAAGCAAAGCCGTGGAGGCATCTGGTCCTTCTGGAGGGAGTGGGGTACGCCTGCTGGTGCCCAGTGCCCTGTGGTCAGGTGCAGCTTCTGGCTGTGTCTCCTGATTTCTGGACCTTCGGAGGATTCTCCATGTTGCCTGCCCTCCTTTAACGAATTTGAGTTTTGCTTAAACCAGTCAGAGTGGTGTTTGCTGTTTGCAGTTAAGAAGCCTGATGGATACAAACCACATCACTTTCCTACCTAAATAGTTTTCACTGGTTTCCCTGCCCACCGGGCCCTGCTCGCTCCTCCAGCCTCATGCTTGGTGACCCCATCTCACACTTTGTACTCTAACTACCAAGTATGGACCCCTTGCTTCCCTCTCCTTACACTACTCTGTTCAGGGAATTTTTATCTTCCTATAGGCTGGGATGTGCCCACTTTACAGAAGAGAAAGCTGAGTCTCAGCAACGTGGTCACATATTGACCCCAGAGTCAGAACCAGAACTCGGATCTCCATGTTCCGCCTGAGATCCCGTCTCCTTTTAGCTGGAGTTCAAGGCCTTCCTAAAGCCCCTTTCCCCCTTGTGCCCCTACACCCGCAGCCCAACCCCTTACCACCCCACGCACTCTGGCTTATTCTCTACCCAGGCCCAGGCAGCTTCCTCACCCGGGACCATCTCCCCGTCCCATTGGCCTGGTGGTGAGGGCACAGGCTCTGAAGCCACACTTCTGGATTCAAGTCTTGGCTCTGCCTCTTCCCAGCCTCGTGAGATTAGGCAGGTCACCAAACCTCTCTGTGCCCCAGTTGTCTCATCTATAAAATCGGGTCATGACGGTAAGCCTCTTAAGCGTGTTGGGTGGAAACTCAGATGAGTCGCTTAGTGAGCGCACAGCGACTGTTAGCTGCTATCATTCTTATCATCATTGTCATTGTCATCTGGCAATGTCCGTGTCTGCCCACCTCTCTTTTTTTTTTTTTTTTTTTTTGCGGTACGCGGGCCTCTCATTGCCGTGGCCTCCCCCGTTGCAGAGCACAGGCTCCGGACGCACAGGCTCAGCGGCCATGGCTCATGGGCCCAGCCGCTCTGCGGCATGTGGGATCTTCCCGGACCAGGGCACGAACCCGTGTCCCCTGCATCGGCAGGCGGACTCTCAACCACTGCGCCACCAGGGAAGCCCTGAGCACCTCTCTTGACTTCTCTTCCCTTTGGGTGGCCCCTCCCCAGTGAGGAGGATTCACTGCTTCCTGCTCAGGGCATAGGCAGCAGCGGGGGTGGTGAAGAGGCTGCAGCATGGAACCAGAAGCCTTGGGTTCATACCTTGGCTCTAGCCACCTATTATTTGCTGTGTGATCTTGGGCAAGTGACTTAACCTCTCTGTGTGTGCCTCAGTTTCCTGGGAGAAATGGTGATGATAACGGGAGCCAATTCATGGAGTAGTGGTGGAGACCAAATGTGTCAGTACTTAAAGCGGCGTCTGGCACACGGGGAGCAACTCCATAATGTTGGCGCTTATTAGTTGTTTATGTCTGTCTTGCTCTCTAAACCTGAAGGGCACGAACCAGGCTTTATTTATCTCTGTGTTCTTGGCACCTCGTACAGTGCCTGGACCCGGTCGGTGCCACGTGAGTGCCCCATGCTTGCAGTCTGATCTCATATCAGCTAGTTTTTTCATTCTCCCTGCCCGGAGGACACTGTTCCAGCCTGAAAAGATAAAAGAGTACCTCCATCCAAGCTTGGTGCCTTTGGGAGCTGCTGGCCCCGGAAATCCAAGAAGACCCAGGGCCTGGGGAGCCCGTCAGCTGTGGGGACTGGCGCTCCTCGGCAGGGGACTTGCGGACCAGCCGCCCTCAGCAGGGGAGCATTTAGGGTCTCATTTGGAGGCATCTCGGGGAAGGCATCACGCAGGGGGCCACAACATATGCTGTCTCTCAGGCGATGCCAGATGGTGGGGATTTGGCCGGGCTCCCTCTAGATCTGTGCGCCCGCTGACCCATTCAGGGGCTCCAAGATGCAAAGGAGAAATGATAATGTGCTTTGAAATGACTGGAGCTGGGAGCCGCATGGAGCCTGGCAACGAAGGGGCACCCCCTTGCTGCTGGTACTTGACGCACTCACGCACCAGCGAAGCAGGATGGATTCCAGCCGGCTAATGACCACCCTGGTTAGCTGTCTGCTTCATTCCATCTGACCACTGTGTAGAGGATCTGGAATAGAGGGTGATTAAGAGATCACTGCCTGAGCACAAACCTCAGCTCCTCCACTTACCAGTTGTACGGACCTTGGGCAAAGAACTTAATGCTCTGTGCCTCAGTATCCCTGTCTGCAAAATGGGAATACTATCGCTGTCACAGCAGTAAAACATTCTGTTCACCTGTGTTGTCACTATGACAACGGCTAACTCACACAGCGCTCTCCACGTGCCGGGAGCTGTTCTTTACGTGGATTCTCTTGTTTAATCCTACGACCAAGAGGGAGGTGCTATTATTATCTCTATTTTTTAAATCAGCAAAGTAAGGAGAGTTCAAACAACTCACTCAGAGTCATAAAGCTAGAAGTTGGCAGAATCAGGATTCAAACTTAGCCAATCTGGTCCACAGTCCGTGTTCTTACCATTGAGCCGTGCTGCCTGACAATAAGACAGAGACCTCATCAAGGACAGTCTTGCCCTGCAGCACGCACTTATGATCCGCTCTGGAAGGTTAAAGAAAGCCATGTATGCAACGACTCAGAGCAACCGCACACCCTCAGCTTAGCTAACTGATGATGACCCATCTTTTTTCCCCTCAGATACAAGGCATTAGTTTGGATGATTTGGGCTGCAAGTAACAGTTAACCCTACTCCCAAGTGTTTTCAACATTGGTGACGTCAGTGGTTATTATTATTCACATAGGAGTTTAGGTTGCTGCAGCTTGGTTAATCCAGTGACTCAGGGATGTCATTAAGCAACCTGGGTCTTTCCCGTTTTGTGTTCTGTGATCTTTGGGATGCCAGCTTTGTCCATAGACCAGCTCCCCTCTTGACAACCAGGTGGCTGCCAACACTTCCAGGTAGTTCTGCATGTGAAAAATGTCTGAAAGAGAGGGGAATGATTGTCCATTCTTGGGTATTTTCTTAGGAGTCTGAGAACATTCTGTAGAGTCTTCCAGAAGACTTCCCATCACGTCTGATTGGCCAGTAGTGGGTCACATGCTCCTTCCTAGACCAGTCCCTGCAGGGGGCTGTGACCTCCCTGACTGGTCATCTGGAGTTGACTGGCTGGGGGTGAAGCAGCAGCCCTGGTCCCTGCACAGACCTGGTGCTTCTCTACTTCCCTTGACTCACTTCTGCCATTTGTCCTGCAGGAATGCCTGTCCTGTTCCTTGGTGTCATCATGACATTGTATTATTTAGGAACCATTTCAGTTGCAAGTAACAGGAAACCCAGCTAAGAGTGACTTAAATGAAGATGGGTTTGTTTTTCTTACATCACAGGAAGAAGCCCAGAGGCAGGCAGTACGGAGCCAGAGCTGTATCTCTCACTGATGTTCCAAGGACCGACTCTTTTTGCCTCCCCACTTTGCATCCTCCGCATAGTGGTTTTTATCCACAGGCTTATCAAACACCTTCTGGTTCTAAAGTGGCAGCTCCACTTCCAGGCGGGAATGAGAGAGAAGGAAGGAGGGGAGGTTGCTGTGTCGCAGAAGCAGCAGTGCATTC